ACCTAGGAGTGGGGTTACTGGGTCATATGGAAGCTCCATTTTTAGCAGTTTGAGAAACCTCCAAACAGCTTTCCATAGTCAGCACATCATATTTTAAGCAAAATATCACATGGACATTAAAAAAAAATACTGTGCATGCTTTATTCATATTGCCTTTCTCTGTTCCAAGATATATGGGAATTTTAATCAATATAGTATCTTCATACAAATAACATGTAGTATTCAAAAATGGGATAAAAACTATTTGCAGTATTATTTCATTTATTTAAGATGTCATATATTCTCACATGTTACTTTGATCGATTTCTTCTGAAAATCTTATCCTTCAAGTATTTGAAGTATTATTGTTTCTTGGATCTGGATCTGCTTCTTCAATCCTTATACTTTTACTCTCTGTAGGGAACTTCTTCCAGGCATATCACTTCATATACTATTGAAACCCAAAATTTCTATTTGTAGTCTCAGTTGCTTATTGATTTCTAGAATGATATGCCTGCCCATGCACATGTTCATGTGGAAGGCCTCCAGAAAATTCTCTAATTCAAGGAAAATCCAGTCACACCAACAAAAACCTGAAAGTCACAATATACTCTTCCTGTTCCTGGGATAATTAAGTTGAACAAGTTCTGTCTTTCAAATCACTTTCCAACTTGTCTCTTTATCCTAGTGATCTTGCTATTATCATTTATTCTGTTATTGCAATAGAAAAAAAATGCAAGTGTGTTAGAAAGATAGGATGTGGATTTGAGATACTAAGGGACCACATGAGACAAACATGAGTCTGAGTTGGGGAGAGAAAAAGAAAACAGAGTTGAAGATATAAATTTCTCATCATCAATTGAAGGTATTAGAAAGTCTGGTTACAATGATTTTTTTTTCTTCAGAAAAAGGGTATTACAAGAAAAACAATGAAAGATGAAAAAACTTTGAGGAACAATATTTAGGAGATGGAATAGAGATAGCAGTCTAGGAAATAGAGTGAGAACAACCAAGAGAAAAGAGAACTCTTGAGAGAGGCACCATTGATGCTAAAGACCAGAGGTTTCAAGGAGGGAGTTGTCAGCATTGACAAGCACTCCTCAGAGAACAAGTAAAGACTGAAAAGAACCCACTGAAGATAACACCAGAAATTATTAGTGTTTAAGTAGAGAAGGGGGGGGGGAAGCAGACTACAGTGAAGTAAATAAGAGGCAGAATGCAATTTCTCTTTTCAAGCAGGTTTATTATGATAAGAAGGGGTGAGATAAATTGAATATTTGAAAGAGTTTCGTTTTTGTTTTTAGTTCTATTTGCCAGCCACAATAGGAATGGCTTTAAAAAAGAGAGAATAAAGAAGAAAAAAAATTTTCAGTACAGGCATGTTAATGCAATGAAAAGGGATGAGATATGTTTCTTTTAAATTCTGTTTCTTCAGATTTCAAAAGCAGTGTAAAAATATATGATTTAAATAACACAGTATTATATAAAATAGAGGGTGAAATCTACCTCACCAATTCTACTCTCCAAATAACACACTTCCATTTTTTAAAAATTAAAATTAAAATTTAGTAAGTACCATTATTCTATATACTTATTAATTTTTGACACTGTAGGATTCCTCTCTTCTGGTGTCACACCAGATTTTATTTTTATACATCTTTCTAATGACATACACAAAGCATATACTCTATTTTTTAGCCTACTGTGTAGTATTTCACTACAGGTCTGAGGCAGAGTTAATTTAGCCAATGACTTTTTGATAGAAATTTGGATTGTCACATAGTTTTCTGATTTAAAACATGGTGATGATGAACACATACCCACACACACACCCACATCCTTGAAGACAGGAGTGTCTCTGAAGATTAAATTTCTGAAAGTAGAAAAGCTGCCTCGAAAGGATGACTTATGAAATTTATAAGTAAAATTGCTCTATAAATAAAAATTTTAATTTATATTTCTATTTATAGTTTATGAAAGTAGGGATTGATACATAGTGAGGAGTCAGATTTTGGGGTAACTAAGAGTATGTGGAAACAAGAGGATAGAGTAGCCATAAGGGACTGAGAAAGAAGAGTCAGTGATGATTCCAAGGTAGTGACAAATTCAGATAGCACAAAAGCTATTAATACCCTATCTTAGAAAGACATTCATATTTAGTCAACATAATCTGGTCAAGCTTTCTAATATTCTTAGATTCAGAAGTTGTTTAGGAGAGCACACAGTTTGCTGGGAGAAATCATTGGATTTCAGCTACTGGGAATTAAATCTGAAGATTAAAGGCAGAGGTGATTTTAGCTTCACCGTGGTTGATAATTTTGAATAGCTGACAACAAAATGTCATTTTACATTGATAAAAATTGTATTTAACTAGATCTTTTGGTAATAAGGAGGACCTTGAGCTACTAGCTTAATATCAGGGAGGCTGAGTTGTCTATGTGATTAGACAATTATAATGTAGTTCAAAACAAATTGGGTAAAATTATGTTCCAGATTGTGTGTGGTTTGAATGAATGACAAAGAAAAAAGATATTGCGATAGTACCATACATCTTAATCTGAAATACGTGTTTTAAAATCATACTTTTCTTTTTGACCCACAGTCAAGAGAACTATGGAGTGCTGGCTCATATGCTGCTGATTTTTAGATTTCGTTCTACTGAGGATCCTGAGGCCATGAATAATCTTATTCAGCGTATTCTGCATGAAAAACTGAAAGATGCTGTAGGACCCCCTGAATTAGACCCTGCATCAGTGGAAATTAAAAGTAACTTTATTTGTCTTATGTTCTATATTCCTCTTACACAGTCGCTCCACGTTAAATTTAGTCTTGACCACTATTTAAAAACATTTTTAAAAAAATGTCCTTTAATTTGGGGTGTTGCCACTGACAGAACTTTTTTTTGGGGGGGGAGGGCATTAAATTAGTCTTAATGAGGTATTTTAATTTTTAATACTGCCCAAACCTTATGCCTCCAATAAAAAATGTGACACTAACTCATGGGCCTGGATTCTTTTTCTCTATCAGGCTTTATACTTTAGTTATAGAATCCAACCATAAATGGAGAAAGTGGCTTTGTTTGTGTGTTCCTCTTCTTTTCTTGTTAAATTCTGAGAATTTAGAGGGTAGATACTTTTGCCATCCATGTAAATGTCATTAACATATCTTGTTATATCTTCTTAGACCATTTACCAATGAGAAGTGTATAATATAGTTACACTTATTTTTGGTATATTTTATGACTAATTTGAATTAACTGCTACTTTTTATTTTTTGTTGTTTTATGGGGACAAAGCACAAAGTGATGAAAGGTCTTCATTACTAGCAAGTAAAAAACATAGGAGAGCCTCCATGGAAATAGAGATCTGGATAAGAGTTAAATTCTTATACTACACAACAATACAAGAATGCTAGTCTATGGAAATACAATGTGTGCCATATGTATGAATTCAAAATTTCTAGTAGTCACATTAAAAAGTAAAAGTTAATATGTGAAATTTATTGTAATAATTGGATATTTAAAGATGTTTTATTTCAACATGTAGTCAATGTGAAAATTATACAGGAGATATTTTCTTTTTTTCTGTACTAAGGCTTTGAAATATAGTGTATCTTTTATATATATGGCTTATTTCAAGTTAGAAAAAAAACCACATTTTAATAGCTCCCTAAGCACATGTGACTAATGGACATAATATTGGGGATATGGAGGCCCCAGATGATATAGAATAAAGACAAATAGAAAGAAAATAAAGGGCTGATATAGAAGCTAATATACCTATTAGACTGAAGGCTAGTCTGATGGTCAGGCCTTTTTCTTACTTAGACAGGCAGACTTGTAGTCAGGGTCAGCTGTATAATTTTTGGATCCAAATTATACAGTGTAGTTAAAAAGTTCTGAGTTCTGGTAAAATAGTAGAATAGGGCCCTCCCTGGTGGCGCAGTGTGTTAAAGCACAGCACTAAGAAGCTAAAGCCACTTCAGCATGAGTTCAGTCACTGCCCGGAGCTGACCCACATGGCGTGACAGACCTCTCCTGACCCGCCAGCTGTTCCCTTAGGCACTGCACTTGGTCAGTCTGCCTGTTCTGCTCCCCACTCTGTCTCTAGTGAATCCTCTCACTGGCCCTGCACCTCTAGCCTGTACCCCAGTTCTGTATGTATAAATAAATAAATCTTTAAAAAAAGGTAGTAGAATAAAAGATTTTTCTTTCTTTCACTATCTTTATTGACTTAATATGATATTATTATTTACTAATTAATGACTTTCTAAATGAAAAAATTAAATTTTAGATTACTGGCATTGAGTTTTACTGTTCACCTTGACGTTGTGAAATGTCAATTATAATGCAATTATAAGAACATTTAACTTTTATGTGGATCATGAAAATTATACAACTGTACTTTATAGTTCATACATGCATACATTTTGGTTCTTACTAAATCATTTGGAATACTACTACTCAGGCTAATTCGACCTTTTTTCATTTTTGTTCTTGTTAAGCAGATATTTGGGCAATGCTTTCTATCTCATCTTAAGTGAGGAAAGGACAGAAAGGTTCTATGTAATTATATTGAGCTGAAGTTGTTGGCTGATACGAAGAAGCAGTGGGAGCAAGAAAGAATATAATGGTATCCCTTGTTTGTGCTTGTCTATTAGAATGTTATGAGTTCTTTCTGTGTTCTAAACAAGTTCTGGTTCAAACAGAACATATAGCCTCCTGTGCAGGGTAGCTGCATAAAGTATACATTCTTGAGGTCCCTGCTGTTAGTGGTATCAAAATGTACAGCCAGAACTGTCTAGGAATTGCTTGAGAAACAGGAAGATTAAAGAGGTGCATTTACTGAAAGTAAATGGTCACTTTTTTTTGGGCCATTTTCTACAAAAAGCCAGGTAGAAGAAAAAGAAAATTTTTCTAAGAATACACATTTCTAGTAAATCAGCACTATTAAATACTAAAAGAAAAGCTAACATTAAAATTTTTGCACTTATCACTTCCATACTGCTAAGTTTATAGAGAATATTTTTGTTCAAATTACTGAGTTAGGAAATTTGAGTGCTTAGACTTTTATGTATATGTTGATTGTCGAGTTTGGTTAGGGTAAGGCTTGACTGTTGAGAAGTTCACCGGTTAGAGTTGAATGAATTTGCCTTCAGATTGTTGTGCTAAAACTTTTTCACTTAGTAAGACAACCCAAAAGGCATGCCATTATTGTGTTTTTTAAAGATTTATTTATTTATGCATACAAGAACTAGGGTACAGACCAGGGTTGTGGGGGGTGAGAGGATTCACCAGAAAAAGAGTGGGGAGCAGAACAGGCAGATTTACTGAAATTCACTGCTGAGGGGAGCAGCGGGCAGGACAAAAGAGGTCTGCTGTGCCAATGTGGGTCAGCTCCCAGGCTGGGGATCCAACTCATGCTGCAGTGGCTGCTGATAGCTTCATAGTGCTGCACTTTAACCCCTTGCTCCACCACAGAGGCCTATACTATAAAATTTACACTATAAAATTTTGTACTGTGCTATATTTATATTATAAAAATGTTCCTTTGTTGACTCTTATCCACACTGATATTTAAGAAACGTTTTTTTTTTTTTTAAAAGATATTTATTTATTCATACAGAACTGGGGTACAGGCCAGAGGCTCAGAGGCGGTGAGAGGCTTCACCAGAGACAGAGTGGGGAGCAGAACAGGCAGATCGATGAAGTACACTGCTGAGGGAAGCAGCGGGCGGGTCAGGAGAGGTCTGGCTCGCCATGTGGTCTCCTCCGGGGCAGGCGGCAGGCGGAATCGAACTCATGCGGAAGTGGCTTCAGATTCTCAGTGCTGTGCTTTAACCCGCTGCGCCACCAGGGAGGGCCTAAGAAACGTTTTTGAGGAGTCCCTTTTCCCCAAGGTTATAAACATACTATGTCTATAATAAATGAAGGTGATTGTTTTTTTTTTTTTTTTGCAACCTAGAGATACTATCTTAAAGAATTATGTAGCCTTTAGTTGTTCAAGTTTTCAGAGTCATTGCTCAATTCTGAAGTGCTGATCCTGTTCTGTTAATTGTTTGTGTGTATTGCAGAAATCAACAAGACAGAAACAGACAAATTTCTGAACAACTGTAAGTTTGAATATATTTATTAAAATTATATTATCTGATTACCGAAAGTTAACACTGGATTGTTTAGGTTTCCTTTATGTACTAGTATAAGGTCAGAATAAAGTATGACTGAGTAGTGCACAGCTCAAGTTTCTTGATCTTACTTCAGAGGTTAATTTTATTATTAAAGAATAACAAATGTGGAGGAATTTTGGAGTAAATGTATGGGTGTCTGTGACACATTTGTAGTAGAAGTAAGTTGTGCAACTGTTAAAGAAGGGGTAAAAAATTTTACATCACAATGTCTTGATTGTACATATCTATAATATATTCTTACAAAATTTTCCTAAAGATTAGATGAAAGTAGTCTCTATGTTGGTATTTTTTTCAGCTGGAGGCAGGAACCTTTTGCTACTATGCAGTAAATAGAATCTTGATGTTATTTGTCTAATATTATGAAAATTGCAGGCAATATAGGGAAGTTGGATATACTGACAAATTACTGAAGGTCCAGATAATGTGTGTGTGTGTGTATGATATTTTACAAATACTTTAGGGCTAGTAGTTTCCTTTCCTGTGGAAGAGTAACCCAGCATGATTTAGACACAAATTCGACAGTGACAGAGTAAGTACATAATATTCATGCTGGAACATGGAAGGAACTGTACCATTTAGCATCTCAGAATATTGATTAATTCAAAAATTTAACTAAATAGATAACCAAAGGATAAACGCATTATTACCATCACTATTTCCTTGGAACCTACTAAATACTAGTGCTGTGTTAGGCAGTACGGGTGTAAAATAAATGATATATTTTCTTTTCCCTATGGGACTAGATGCATGAAATATAATTCTAAAGCAAGGGCAATTTTGACACCTGAGGGCACATGCCTCAATATATTTTCGGTTATTATTCCTCAATGTAATATTTTTGGTTATTATGACTGCGGGGAATGCAGTTGGTATCTAGATTGTGTAGGTCAGGGATTTTTACAAATATCCTATGGTACACAGAACAGCCCCAGGCTCTCCCCACAAACAATTATCTAGTCCCAAGTATAAGTAGTGTTGAGGTTGTGAACCCCCATTATAAATGATTTTGAAGAATATATGTATATTCATAGAATATGTTTGCACACATTATTTACATCGAGAGAAGGCATTATTTTTATGTTGAGAGTGGGGAAAGGCATCCTAGAGGAGATAATGACTGATCTAAATGTGATAAATAGGAGTAAAATAAGTGAAACACTGTAATTTATACTAAGATGAGAAAAATGACACTATTGGAGCAAAAAGTACAAAATGTTCAGTACTTAGAAATGCAATCTGATACATAAAACATCTACTAATTAATAAATCATCTCTTTTTGGCAGGCTGTGGGACTCGAAGGAATAAAACCTCAAGAGAGAGTCTCAGAATTATTGGTGGGACAGAAGTGGAAGAGGGTGAATGGCCATGGCAAGCTAGCTTGCAATGGGATGGGGCCCACCGCTGTGGAGCGACTTTAATTAATTGTACATGGCTTGTGAGTGCTGCTCACTGCTTCAGGATGTAAGTCCAGAATTTCACAAATATTGGGGGCAGCAAAGTGCATTAGGGCTTGGCAGGAAAGAAATAGCTCATGAGGTTTGAGATGAATTCAATATAAAGATAATACATACATCACAAAAAGATTGTTTTACATTTTAGCCAGAGGTTTCCTAATTTGGAAATGGAAATGGCATCAAAAGACATGCAGATAGGCTCTCTGTGGTGGTGCAACAGGTTAAAGCACAGCACTGTGAAGCTAGCCATAGCCACTGCAGCACTAATTCAATTAATTCCAGGCAGCCAGGGGGTTGGTCCACATGGAGGGGCAGACTTCTCCTGACTTGCTGGCTGCTCCCCTCAGCAGTGTACTCCATCAATCTGCCTGTTCTGCTCCCCACTCTGTTTCTGGTGAAACCTCTCACCACCTCTGCACCTCTGGCCTGTGCCCTGGTTCTGTATGCATAAATAAATACACCTTTAAATAAGGACATGCAGATAAGCTTTCCACTTATAGATACACAATAATTTGTAAAGGAAGCAGTAACTTTTTTTAAAAATTTTTATTTATTCATACAGAACTGGGGTACAGGCCAGAGATGCAGAGGATGAGAGAATTCACCAGAGACAGAGTGGGGAGCAGAACAGGCAGATGGACAAAGTACACTGCTGAGGGGAGCAGCGGGCGGGTCAGGAGAAGTCTGGCGCACCACGTGGTCACCTCCAGAGCAGGCGGGAATCGAACCCATGCGGAAGTAGCTTAAGCTTCTTAGAGCAGTGCTTTAACCCACTGGGCCACCAGGGAGGGCCGGAAGCAGTAACTTTAAAGAAAATTAATCATATTTGGACTTGGTGCTTTATGTTAAAGAAAGGAGCTATAGCTCTATCAGAGATCATAGGTTTAATCCCACTGGGGAAATTCTATCTGGTAAGAAAAAAATTAAATATAAAGAAATTTGATAGTTACAAATAATACAAGTGAATAGGTTGATTAACTTTATTTCATAGAATGGGGAACTTTCAACCAAGTGTAAAATGTCTATAGTATACAGGATATTAACACAGCTTTGTTAAACTATTTTTGAACATTGAAAAATGTTCACGTCTAAGCAAAATGGTGCATATAAAATACATTTAGTTTACTCATCCTGTACAGGGTATGCTTTCCATTTGCCTGTTGGAGTCACTGATGTCCAGAAATGTCAAAAAGTTCTAGGCTCTGGAGTATCTACTCAGGATGCCAGTGGGATTTCCACCTGACCTGACCTGAGTCAGAGTTCTCAGGTTGGAGAGAGTTTGTTTCCATTCATAGAAACTATACATTGAAAAACAATTTATATCATCACCTGCAGACTAAATTGTTTCTATGAAACTTTACAGTGATATGCTAGTAAGGTGGAATTTATGCTTAACACTTTCTCCTCAGTTATAAGAAGCCAGCCAGATGGACTGCTTCCTTTGGAGTAACAATAAAGCCTCCAAAAATGAAACGCAACATCCGAAGGATAATTGTCCATGAAAAATACAAATATCCATCACATGACTATGATATTGCACTCGTAGAACTTACTAGCTCTGTTCCCTACACAAATGCAGTACACAGAGTTTGTCTCCCTGAAGCATCACGCCAGTTTCAATCAGGTGATGAGATGTTCGTGACAGGATTTGGAGCCCTGCAAAATGATGGTGAGAATCTGAAGAGAAACTCAATAGAGTAATCTATTTGGTTTTCTGAGGCATTTAAAGAACAGAATGTCATTATACAAAAATATGTTGGTGGACTGGTCAGAGAGGAGCTAAATCATTTAGAAGACAACTAAATTCCTTTCTGCTTTTGGTTACTATTAAGCACTACTGCAATGATGGTGCTTGCTTAAGTGTTTGCAAGATTAAATACTGCATAGCTGAATTTTTAACCCAAGGAGCTATCAGGGATCATCAGTATACCTCATTGTGAAGCTCAGAGAACCATAAAGCTAATATTTATCTCTATCAAAATTACCTTCTAAAATTAACAATGGAATCAAAATTAAACAATTTTGAGCTTCTTTCCTAGATTCCTTGCTATTTGAAGCAGCTAGGAAATATTTACTCTGAAAAATTACATAACCCGACTTGCTACTACTACCTTATTCAATTGCTATAGGAGACATTCTTAAGGTTTATAGAATATATAAATGCCTTTAAATATACAATTATTCCCCCCTTTAGGTTATAGTCAAAATACTCTTCGGCAAGTACAGGTGGATTTCATAGATACTAAAACCTGTAATGAACCACAAATTTACAATGATGCTATAACTCCTAGAATGTTATGTGCTGGTTCCTTGAAAGGAAAAAGAGATGCATGTCAGGTAAGTGGTTTGATCTATTAATATGTTGTGTAACTTTTTGTCTTTTATCTTTTCTTTGCATAGATACTACACAGGGGTCTACATCTAATATAGCCACAGTTCAATGCAAAAACTAGGAATCTGGCATTGGCTATGTGCTTCTAACCACTTTTCACATAGACCTGCTAGACAAATTCGTATTTGTTCAGTTTGCTACATAAAACTTCTTCACCCATTGACCTTTCTCCATGTTTCTCACAAATGCCCAGGACTAGTTTTACTTCCTTGTTTCTTTTTCTACTCTGAGGCCCTGGTAATTAGTTGAGGAACAATGTAGATACAAAATTGTACTGAAAATTCAAGTTGATTTTGTAAACAAACCTCCCAAAATAAAATCAACTTCATCAAGGATTCCCTTGAAAACATTTCCAAAAAATAAAAAAAGAAAATATATTCATTCCTTGTTATTTTCGGGTTACATGTTTGTGAATACATTAAACTAAAGACAATCCTCAAGATACTTTCATGATATTGCAAAAACACAGAGTGGCAAAAAATTTAAGTCACCTTATGTGTAAGCAACATGAAGTTGCAAAGGGTGATTCTCTGCTTTCTGGCTTCAGCTTTCATACCATACTGTTTAATTTCACATTATTGTGCTTTCTGTTTTGGTGATTTTGCTGTTTAAAATAGCTCCCAAATGTGCTGAAGGGAAGTGCAAGATGCTATGTTGTACCTGTAGAAAAGTATGTGTATCTCACAAGCTTTCAGACTTGAGTCAGTGCTGTTGGTAGGGACTTTAAATGCTAATGAATCAATAACACATTAAATAACAAGGTTTAAGTTCATTGTCATGTGACTGTAAGTTGATCAGTTGATATAAATCTAACCAGAGGCTTATGGAAATCTAATCCTATATTTCTCCCAAGACCAATGATCAGTATTCATCAATTTAGGTTTGCAGCAACTTCATGGAACATAAATATGTAAATAGCAAGATTTTTTTTTTTTTGGTCTTCTGGACAGTCATAGAATCATTGTTTAGATATTCTAGATTAGATCTTTACTTGTCTTAATTGTTTTATCTTCTAATCTTGTCTTAATCTTCTACGTCCTATTTGTCTCCAACTTTACTAAGCATTTGAAAATATCTTTTTAGAGGAAAAGTTGTATGTCTCTTAGTTGTTTTATATTTAGATTTTTATTATTGAAAATTTTAAATCTATCTAAAAGTAGAGAAAGCAAAATAATGAAATCCTAGTATACTCAATATCAAGATTCAACAACTATCAACTCATGAACACTTTTATATCATCCCTATATATCCCAATATAATCTCCTTAGACCTTTCCTTTCCCCATCAAAAATTTCCAGGTAGGAACTCCAGATGTCATATAATTTCATCTGGAATTATGTCACTTATTTTACTTAGAGGTGATTAGCCCTTATAAATATTTCTCCAACTTACCTAGACATGGATCATGGATAGCCCTTACAAATTTAGGAAATTAAGATGAATAGCAAGTAAGCTCTGTAATTATCCTATTTTCCTCTCTCTGGCATGATCCTGAATCCATCTGTTTTCTTCTTTATGTAATAGCCATATTTTTTTGCCACTTGACTGACTGACTCCATATATTTTAATATCTCAAAAATCATCAATAAGCTTATATCAAAAATCATTACTTGAGTTTATTATTCTTTCTCAATTTTTTTTAATGTGATCTTTTGCTGGGTTCTTTGATTCTGAAATATGTTGACTTTCTCCCCTCCTTCTTCAAGCAGTCATTTCTGGTTCCTTGTTTTGGTTCCTCTCTCTCTCTCTCTCTCTCTCTCTCTCTAGCCTTGCCCCTAATCAAGACTCAGATGTCAGATGTACATTTTCTCCACTCTGTATCTATACACTCACTCAAAGAACTTGCCTTGTATTTGAATTCAACTATCAACTTTACTGACTTTCAAATCTATATCTCAAAATTAATCTTTTGTTCAAATTTAGTCTCATTTTCCACTTCCAAAGCATTTCCACTTATAAGTTTACTTGCTTTTCAAACAGCTTCAGATGACAGATCTTATTTCTATAAGCAGATGCCTGAGGACAAGGCCCCTATGTTTGTTCTCCTTCTATATCTCCTACTGCATGTGAGGGTAAATGTTTACTGGTTAATGGATTTAAATACACTTCACTTCAAATTCAGTTAGTATTAATTAATAACTTTACATGGACAAAAAGAAATTCAGAGAAAAGTTTGTATAATGTGGGAGAGGTAAGCATGATCTGAGCTAGACCATTTTTAAAAAATTCACATTCTGCTACTGAATGGCCTGTGATTAGTCTAACTACTTAATTTCTATGTCAGTATCCTTATTGTTGAAATAGAGAAAAGGAAACAGCACCAGGTTTTGTTACCAGAATGACAAAAGTTAAGGAACTAAAACACTAATTAATGAATAGCTTCATTAGCACTTCTTGATACTCAATGAACTTTCAACTAAACTATAACTAGAGGTCTAGATTTTAAGGAATGATCAGCTAATACTTTGTTTTTATGGCCAGTATAAAAAAACAACCCTACTGAGTTCACATGACTTAAACAACTAGAGTTTTAAGTTTTTTTACACACAAACACACACATGCCCACACACACTATATTCTGCTTTGTGTGAGTCATGCTGAACATTTAATATCACTGTCTTATGCATGCTTTTAAATAATCATCTGAGGTAGGTATTATTAGGTGCATTACAAATAAGTAAATTAAAGGCCACATTTGAGATTAAAACCCAGATACCTGACTATAATGCTGTGTTCCTTATCAGTAAGATTCCTCACCCTTATTTTGGAGGCTACATCACACTGATGAAGAGGCAGCCTGTACAGGAGTTATTTTGTTCTCCAAAGAGATAGAACCTTTTAATCTGAGTACTGAACCCTGAGGCTAATCAAATTTTACAAGCATTGGCTTTTGCTTTTTATGTAAATAAGTGATATATGGACAGAATCACTTCCATGTTTAAATAAACTGAAGCTTTTTGAAGCTACCCCTTTCCTTAAACTTAAATCATAAAATTAATAGATACCCTTGTAACCAACTGATTTATTAATTAGTCATCTCTCTTCTCCTTTAGGGTGACTCCGGAGGCCCACTGGTCACTTCCGATGCTAGAGATATCTGGTACCTTGTTGGAATAGTGAGCTGGGGTGATGAATGCGGGCAACCCAACAAGCCTGGTGTTTATACAAAAGTGACTGCCTTCCGAGACTGGATCACTTCCAAAACTGGTCTCTAAAAGAGAAAAACCTAGTAGAATGAAGATAGTTTTGTTTATAGAACATTCTTAGAGGGCCCTCCCTGGTGGTGCAACGGGTTAAAGCATAGCACTATGAAGCAAGCTGCAGCTGCTTCAGCATGAGTTCAATTCCCGGCCAGGGAGGTGACCCACATGGTGCAGCAGACCTCTCCTCTCTCTTCCATTGCTCCCCTCAACCGTGTACTTCGTCAGTCTGCCTGTTCTGCTCCCCACTCTGTCTCTGGTGAATCCTCTCATCACCCTTGCACTTCTGTCCTGTACCCCAGTTCTGAATGCACAAATAAATAAATCTTTAAAAAAAAAAAAAAAAAAAAGAACATTCTTAGAGAGGGAAATCCAGAAGAGGCCCTAATTAACTCTGGTGCATATATTTCCTTCTTTGCTTTGCTCCACACATGGCATCTTGTTTCTTCCTGATGGATTCTATCCCAACTTGTGTTTATTATTTCCTGGAAGTTTTCTGTCATCAAAATTTTGCCTTGTTGACATAAATTTCAAATGCATAATAAGATCTGAAATGATTCCTTCCTTAATTTCTCAGTACATTTTCACTTTCAAGGTACAGGACAAAAAGCAAAAGCAGTGTTAAAAGGAACAAAGTATCTTTTTATGTATAGGAAAATATTAGTTTTTTTTTTCTTTAAATCTCTAGTGGAATGAGGGAAAATGCAACACAGTTAATACAGAAAAACCATGATGTAGTTTTATTTTTACTTCTAGTCAAACAACAACAGAAATAAATGAGAGAGAGTTTCTGATTTCTTGTGACTTATAATGACTGTGTAATTCCTAAATAATGTACTTGTTCTAAGCTAGAGCAAATGATACTTAATGTTATACTGTTGAGGAGGTCAGTAAGTTAACAAATAATGAATAAATCATACATTTGCTTAACGTTATCAAATGGTTATCAATGATGAAGGGGAAGGGAGGGGAAATGTTGCTAATCAATTTGTTAGAAATTCTTTTAAATTCTGAGTTTTGAATGAGAATTTATTTACAAATAACCAGAATGCCTTAAGTATTCTGCAGATCCCGCCCTCCCCTCCCCCAGCTGCATTTCCATTTCTAGTCAGCACTGGACTCCTCTGAGTGCAGAAGGGAAATAGTCCTAGGAAAGAGCCTAAAGTGTCTTCTCTGTTGCGTTTAGTGTGGCACTGAATTGCTAACTATCTGTATCTAAAACTGTAGAGGAAAAGCCTAATATCAGCCGCATTCATAATTTTAGTTTTGGCAAATAACCACTGAGATTTTGGAGACACAGTATTCAGGGGACCTTGACTAATAGGAAGTTAGGACTGGTGCTGTTATACTGGTGCTATTACATACACGGATATTAGTGGTTAGAGTTCACTGAATCTGGTATCTCTTCACATTGCATGTTGATGATATTATAGGTTCCGTATTGCACCATAACCTATGTTATTAATTTGAAAACATGTCAAAAACTAACATAAGTAGGGAAAAGCACGCCATTTTAAAAACCTAAATAACAATGGCATAGAACTGATAAAATTTAGTTTTACTTAGCAAAACTAAGATATTAAAAGTGGAGACGAATTGACAATGCTAAATACTTTGCAAAGTATTTTTATTTCTTTTAATGAAATCATTTATTGAAAGTTGATGATTTTTAAACAGTTTAAACTAAATTGCTCTCTGTTTTCCATTAAAAATGTATTCCCCTTATTTCAGTTGTGCCTTTAGGTGGCGCTCACAAGCTGTCAGAAAAGACAGGGGAGAAAGATGTTTGATTTTTCAAGTAGTAACAAAAACTAGACTGGAAATTCTGGAGTAGGGTCTTGTAAAATCAAAAGCATACAATAATTCTTTGAAAAGGCACTTAAGTTGGCCTAGTGATTACTATTTTCCAGGTTTCTGGAGGTGAGTTTCCAAACTAAAATTTATGACATAAGGAACTTCCTCTGTAAACAACATGGACGGATTTCAATTAAGGAGAAACTTTGGTAATTCAATCCACAATATTATCATACTCCTCAGAGAAATTTTTAAAGTACTTCCCTTTATAAAAGATATGAGAAATTAAGGTCGGGTTACTGTGAAATATGAGCAATAGTTCAAACTATTTGCACAAAGAAATAGACAATAAAGTATCATTTTTTTAATTAAAAATTCCTTTACAAGATAATATATATTATTTCAGCATTCATGGGACTATCTGTTTTAACTATTATATTGTAGAAAGTTAAGGCATGATTGCAATACTATGAATTGTGCACAGAGGGGCAGGCAATTTCTCTTCTAATATTTTTACCTTTCCACGACAACTAGTAAGGTGCTCTGTATATAATGTTCTTTCGATAAATATTGAATGGCTCTTTTATTTTTATATTATGAAGAAAACAGCTTCCTTATTGTTTACACATTGATTTTTAGACATATCCCAAATTTTACACTGTGTGCTATAAGCCAGTTATTTAAATATTCTAAGTTTATGTATTCATGCATACCTATAAAACAACAATAATAATATTTACCTCAAATAACTGTTGCAGGAATTAAAACAAGATACTGTTTGAAGACAATAACTTAGCATGGCTCTTAGATCATAGAAGTGTTCAAGAAATGGTAACTATTAAAATTGTTGCTACATTTAAACTACAGTCTCGTTTTAAAGAATCGGTACTTAATTATAATAGGTTGAGTAAATATTTTTGAAATAAGAGATAATTAGAAGAATAGATTGGGCTGGCTTCTTGTTTGTAATTCTATAAAAGAAGATTTATGGGGCCCTCCCTGGTGGCACAGCACTAAAAAGCTGGCCTCAGCTGCCTCAGCACAAGTTTGATCCCTGACCAGGGAGGTGACCCACATGGCACAGCAGACTTCTGGCTTGTCTGCTGCTCCCTGCAGCAGTGTACTTTGTAGATCTGCCTGTTTTACTCCCCATTCTGTCTCTGGTGAATCTTCTCACTGTCCTTGAACCTCTGGCCTGTACCCCAGTTATATATGAATAAATAAATCTTTAAAAAAATTTATGGGATCATTCCAAAACATATTGCCAAGTTGTTTTCTATTATTCTGATTTTTATTTTAACTTTTAAAAATAATAAACATTATAAACCACTGAATGATTTGCTTATATCAAGATCTACAGTCTAGTTAAAATGATGCCTCTTGTATGAAACTTTCTTTGACTCCCTCAAATACATGTTACATACTCTCATCAGAAATTCCTTATAGTTAATTTATCAGATAATCATAGATTCATATACAGTTATCAAAGATATAATAGAGATTTGATGTTTATCTAGTATATACCAATAGTAACTTCTTGCTGATAGTAAGACATGACAAACAGGGAGTTAATGATGGGACAATCTGTCAACCTTATTCAGATTTTACTAGTTTTAAAAACAGGTAGTTATATGCATGTGAGTATTTAATTTCATGGAGTTTATCACCTGTGTAAACTTGAGTGATCACAACTATAGTTAAGATACAGAATAGTTTAATTGTAAGGATTTTTCATGCTACTCATAGCTACTTGGCTTCCTCTCTATCCCTGCCACCAAATTCTAGCCCCTGGTAACCACCAAACTCCATCTTTATAATTCTGTCATGTTAGTAATGATTTCTAAATGACATCATATAATGTGTAAATTTCAGAGACTGAATTTTTCTCTCTGCACAATTCACATGAGAACAAGGCAAACTGTGTTAAGAGTTCTTTTTTTTTATTGTTGTGCAGTATTTTACAGTGTGAATGTACCCAGTTTGTTTAACCATTCATTCGCTGATGGGCATTTGAATTGTTTTCAGTTTTTGACTATTTTTGAATAAAGATATGAATATTACAACATTTGTGTGTAGGTGTGTATGTTTGTGTGTGGAAATACATGTGTTTATTTCTCTGGGATTAATGGCCTATTAATGGCCTGGTGTAATAATGGTTGTATGGTAGGCACATATTTAGGCTTTTAAAAATTACCATAGTCTTTTCAGATGGCTCCTCACCATATATTAATCTCTCTATAACTACACTATATACTTATGTTTTTTAGACACATGTGAATAGACATAATTTCAAAACTAGACTCTGGAATATCTGTAGGGGTAGGCACCACAAATGATTTTTTATAACTTTCACAAATTATATAAGAATATTATTTTTATAGGTGTGCAACAAAGATTAAATAAAGGCCAAAGAGTAATAAAAGCAAGTAAACATAACAATAATTTTGGTTAGAAAATAATTAATAGTATTGCACTCATGAATGTATTATGTCCTAGTTTCAGGAAGTCAGGACTTTACTGTAGTACCTCCAAATATCTCATATTAGTTGTCACAGAATCTTGTCCTCCAACTTTCTCACACGGAACAATCAAACAGGGTATATAGAGTGATCTGTTTTCCTGTCTGGTTTTATTTCCTGATACGTAATACTTCATGGTTTTCTGACACACCTGTATCTGTTCTATATTTGTATAATGGATTCCAGTATAGGGTCCTTTGTGGTTCCATATAAATTTCAGAAATGTTTGCTCTATTTCTTTGAATAATGTCATTGAAATTTCGATAAGGAGTGCAATGAACTGTTTCATACTGTATGTAATATGGCTTTTCTAACAATGTTAAGGCTTTTAATCCATGAACAAGAAAGATAACTCATTTCTTTGTGTCTTCTATTTCTTTTAACAATGTCTTCTAAATTTTGTTACACTTTTAAGAGGTATGAACCTATGTCTCTAAATCATATACTTTATTATAAACCAACATCACTTCAATAAAATTGATACAATAAAAAACAACAATTGAGGCCCTCCCTGGTGGTGCAGCAAGTTAAAGCACAGCACCAAGAAGCTAAAGCCACTCCCGCATTGAGTTTGATCCCTGCCTGGAGGTGACCACATGGCTGGCAGACCTCTCCTGACCCGCCTGCTGCTCCCCTCAGCAGTGTACTTCATCAGTCTGCCTGTTCTGTTCCCCCTCTGCCTCTGGTGAATCCTCTCACCAC